AAAAAAAAAAAAAAAAAAATTTTTTTTTCTTAACTTTTAAAAAAGTTTGAAAGATGAAGAAGAGATAGACACATGATCAGCATGAAGAATGAGGGGTAATATCTCTATGGCAAGTACAGACATTAAAAAGTAACTTTTTTAAGGTAGTAAGAGTGTATTTATTACCTTAAAAGAAATGTACAAATTCCTCAGAAAACACAAAGTCTGAAACTTAACCAGACTGTATACGAAATTACATTTAAAAACATATCATGTCCAAGTGCAGTTTATCCCTGAATGCAAAGTTGATTTGATATCCAACAAATAATAGTCTAATTAACTACATTAACAAACTAGAATATAAAAGGCAAATGATCCAGAATAAAGAATTCTTACAACTCAATAATAAGCCTAGTTTTTAACCAGGGGTATGGCTATTCAAGAGCAAGATGAGGGAAATACTTCTGTGATGACAGAAATGTTCTATACCTTTAAAAGTATCAATATCAGGCTGGGCATGGTGGGTCACACCTGCAATCTTGGCACTTTGGGAGGTCAAGGCAGGTAGATCACTTGAGGTCAGGCGTTGAAAACCAGCCTAACCAACATGGCGAAACATCCCCGTCTTTACTAAAAATACAAAAATTAGCCAGGCATGGTGGCGTGTGCCTGTAGTCCCAGTTACTTGGGAGGCGGGGCATGAGAAACACTTGAACCCAGGAGGCAGAGGTTGCAGTGAACTGAGATGGCACCACTGCACTCTGGTCTGGTCAACAAAGCAAGACCACGTCTCGAACAAACAAACAAAAGTATCAAATATCTTGGCTGTGATATTGTACTACAGTTTTACAATGATAGTTGCCACTGGGAAAAACTAGTTTAAGGGTATATGAGGTCTCTCTTATTTTTCTTAAAACTGCCTGTGAATCCACAATTATTTAAAAATAAAAAGGATAATTTAAAACAATGGCAAAAAAATTCATAAGCACATAAAAAGCACATTAAAAATAAGTTCTCTGTATCACTGGGTATTAGGAAATGCAAATTCCAATAAAAATGAGATAACAATATGTATTTCATAGGCAATTAGGTTATGATTCGATGTAGAGAAACTTGGTAAAACATTGGAACATACTCTTTTCTACCATTACATGTGGAAAAGGAAGGAATCAAAATAAATGGAGATCAACAAGAAAGTCAGATTCTAGAGAAAAAGAACAAGTGTTTCAATATTTGAAGTTGAAATGTCATCTAAAATATCCTGAAATCCTATGGAACTGAACTTGAATGTGAGCTGAACTTCCCCTATCCTACCAACCCCGTTTTGGCAGTCAGTGAAGTTTAATTTTAATGCAAAATTCTCTGCTAACTTGAAAGTGTTTTAATTATAGAATATAACAAGGATATAGAAAAATATAGAAAATAGCACAATAAAAAGTATACTCACACATGAATTATGCCAAAAATTAACATTTTTGTCATGTTTGCTGTAAACTTTTTTGTGTGGTTACTTCTTGTTCTGATTATTACTTATTTTATTTTATTGCATTTTAGGTTTTGGGGTACATGTGAAGAACCTGCAAGATTGTTGCATAGGTACACACGTGGCAGTGTAATTTGCTGCCTTCTTTCCCATCACCTATATCTGGCATTTCTCCCCATGCTATCTCTCCCCAACTCCCCTCCCCCCCGCTGTCCCTCCCCTATTTTCCCCCAACTGACCCCAGAGTGTAGTGTTCCCCTGCCGTGTCCATGTGTTCTCATTGTTCAACACCCGCCTATGAGTGAGAACATGCAGTATTTGGTTTTCTGCTCTTGTGTCAGTTTGCAGAGAATGATGGTTTCCAGGTTCATCCATGTCCCTACAAAGGACACGAACTCATTGTTTTTTACGGCTGCATAGTATTCCATGGTGTATATGTGTTTGTTATTGCTGCTGCTGGAGCAAATAAAACTTTACAGACCTCAGTGAATCCCCACTGTGCACCAATTTGCATGTCCTTGTCTTACTCTGATACAGCCAGTACTCTGATTGTTTTACTTTGCATGTTCTAAGCATTTTCAAGATCATAAGCAATGCTGTGATGAGCATTAATGGGAATGACTTCTCCATGTAAACATGTGAGAGTCTTCCTAGGGAACCTTAAAGTGAAATTGCAGATTTGGGGGGTATATACAGCTTCAGTTTTACTAGTATCTCTTAAACACATACCTATCTTATGATCCAGCACTTCTTTTTTAAGTTTAATAGACATTTATTCCTTTAGTTGAACAACCTCTACACAATCAAAATGTATGACTTAAGATCTTTTCTTTTTTTGAGAAGAAATTTAGGTCTCAAGAACTTTTATGAACTTGCTATGAGTACTTGGAAATAAATTAACTGAGCTTTCTGAAACCCCTAAAGAAGACACGAGAAAACTGGTTCAGAGAAATGAGCATTTAAATTATATCAGCAAAGTCAAAATTCAGAATTGAGCAATACCTTGTCTACATTTCCTTTCACTCAAATTTACCTTGGAAAACAGTAGCCTAGTCTCCCGGAAGACATGATGCAAACAGAAATGCAACAGGGTGGTATACTTACTGTGAAAGTGGGCGCACAAGTGATGGCCCAACCTTGGGGAATGGTAAGGATTTTTAGGGTAGTTTGGCCAGAAACAAGAGAAATAACTGCAGAAAACACATACAGTTGGAAACCATGCACATGTACGACTTTTTCTACATCCTACGGGAGTGGGAAGAGTGGGTAACCCAAGATGTTTTTAAGACTGACTAGAAGAAGAATGAGGTATTTATAGTCAACTACTTTCCCCATTAATGTGACTGAAGGGATTCATAATGATCACGAACTAGTGTTACAGTTAAGTATTTTAAGGTTGACTTCTAAGCTCACACTTGAAATGTATTTATCTAATGGACACTGGCTCACCAACTTCCCCTGCTGGCACTGATTGCTAGCTTACCAACATTAAGACCAATACTTTTGTCTAACATTCAATTTCAAAACATACCAGTGTTAATGGCACTACCACTAATCATTGAATGCTATGAAGCCAAGGCACTGAACCAGGGGCTTTTACCTTTTACGTGAACTGAAAATGGTACTGTGGAGACTGAGGCAATTTTATTCAGGCTAACCCAAATTTGTGCCCGTAATTTTCTAAATATAATCATGACATAGTTAACATGTCCTCCTCCCACCCTACAATTTCTAAAGCAAAGCCCAATTTACAAAGTCTGTACCTGTCAAACTAAAAAACACCCAGCCACTTGAAAGTAAACCAGCAGGGCATTGCCATCACCCCAATAAAGCTGCAGGTTTCATCACATGCACCAGACAAATCTACAGGACTAGTTTCAGTATTTCTCTTTTAAAAAACTTATTTTAAGCCTATTATATCACACAGTATGTTTTCTACACTGACATATAACTTCCTAATAAGATAAAACAAAGACAAAAAAGTTTATCTTATTAGAAACAAGATACACCATCACTTACTGTCTTCAAACATTATTGCACTTTAATTGGACAAAGCATTCATGAAACAGTCTGCAGACTAGTTTTAACAGAAAAACAACACCTGTAAGCAGACACGACTGTCCTAAATTGTTTATTAGTTATGAATTTTACAAACTTTACTTATATTAGCGGTAATGGTGGGGCTGGAGAGTATTGCGCCTTCTACAAGCTGCCTGGTGAGGACCACCAATAAGTGTGGTGGAACTTATGGCCCTTTCCAAGGCTGCGGCTCTTTTGGCCTACATATGTCAGCCCACTCATCTTCTTGTGCTTGTGGACTAGTTTGGTAATCCATTGGGTGTCAAGATTTCTTCTGATAGCTTTATGGAATGGATCAATGAGAATAACCTCAAAAAGTTTATATGTGGAATCTTCACCAACCCAGTAAGAATTCAGGGCTCTTAGAGTCCCACAGTGGCATCCAACTTGCTCCTCTGCAACAGGCTGAAGACTTTGAGCAAACTTTAGCTGGTTAACACCATGATGGACAGGGTTGCCGTAAGATGCACCCTTAGGAGCTGGGCGTTTTGGGCCACCATGGCAAACACGAATCCTATATATAATGTAACCTTGCTTGGCCTTGTAGCCCAGTTGGCACGCTTTATCAGGCCAGGTGGGGCAGTGAGCCCTGTGGAAAGCAGAGAGCTAGCAGTACTGCCAGCAGCCGACCCTCAGAGGAAAGCACATAACATCAGACTGCTCCTTCCTCCATAGCTCCTGGATGTACTCGCATGCACCCATCTTGGCTTACCTGATGGCTGTCGCCAGATGGAAAGGGATCCAGCAATTCTATTATTACTTCTATACTCAAGAGAAATGAGTGTATTTGTCCATGAAAATACAATTTGAAACGTACACAGCTTTATTAAAAATAAAATTAAACTGAAAAAAAAGAATGCCCACAACAAAATAATGGATATGTATATACTGTGGCATATTCATACAAAAGAATAGCACATAACAATATAGAAGAACACACTAATGATGCAATAACAGAAATGAATCTCACCAACACTGTTCTGAACAAAAGAAGCCAATATAAGAAAATGCACAGTAATTTTTAAAAAGGCAAAACCTAATCTAGATATGAGAGATGTCAGGATAACAATTAACTCTGGTTGGGTTGGGGTATCGATCAGGAAAGGGCATAAGGGCATCATCTATTATACTAGAAATATTCAATATCTTGATCTGGGTGGTAACACAAATATAGAATGTAAATTTCACTAGTTTTCCTTTAAAATTTGTGTGCTTTACATGCATATTATACTTCAATTTAAAAATTTTTTTAAAAATCGTACTCGTTTTTAATTCCTTATTAAAAGTTATATTTAAAAAGTTGAGTAAATCAATGAAAATATTATTTCTCATAGTATTTTACTGAAAACAAGAACAAAGAAATGTCTATATTCGCACCAAAAGGTCAGGCTACAAAAACAAAAATGAATTCATGGGACTATATTAAACTAAAAGCTTTGCACAGCAAAGGAAATAATAAGCAAAATGAAAAGGCAGCCTCTAAATTGATATAAAATATTTGCAAACCATGTATCTGATAAAGAGCTAATATCTAAAAGATATAAAGAACTCACACAACTCAACAGCAGAAAAACAAATAATCCCATTAAAAAATGAGCAAAGGATCTGAATAGACATTCTTCCAAAAGATACATAAATATGGTCAACAAGTATATGAAAATGTGCTCAAAATCGCTAATTATCAGGGAAATGCAAACCAAAATCATCACACCAGTGTAATGGTTATTATGAAAAAGACAAAAGATAACAAGTACGGGAGGGGGTGCAGGAAACGGAACCCTTGCACACTGTTAATGGAAATGCAGATTTCAGCCACCACAGTGAGAGACAATATATAGATTACTAAAGAAATTAAAAATAGAACTAGAGTATCATCTCACAATTCCCCTTCTGGGCGTAAGGAAAATGAAATCACCACCTCATAAAGACAGCTGCACTCCCAAGTTCACTGGAGCACTATTCAGAATATCCAAGACACAGCCAGAGAGTCCATCAACAGACAAATGGATAAAGAAAATGTACGTACAGTCATTTGCCACATAACAATGTTTCGGTCAATGCCAGACTACAGATACAAAGATGGTCCCAGATGATTACAAGAAAATTCCCATCACTAGATGTTGTAGTCATTGCAGCACAACACAATATTCATGTGTTTGTGGTGACTTTATCAAGTAAAAAAGTTCCAGTAAGCCAAAGGTAACTGATTGTTAAAGAAAAACATTTTCTATAAATGTAGTGTAGCCGACATGTCCAGTATTTATAAAGGCTACAGTAGTGTACAGCAATGTCCTGGTCCCTCACATTTACTCACCACTCACTCATTGCTACAATCAGTACCACTTCCGGTTCCATTCATGGACATGCCCTATGCAGGTGTGCCTTTTAATATCTTTTATACTGTATTTTTCCAGTAGCTTTTCTATGCTCAGATAAACAAATACTTACCATTGTGTTACAACTGCTTACGGTATAGAGTAACAATGCTGTACTTGTTCATGGCCAGGAGCAACAGACTATACCACACAGCCTAGTTGTGTAGTAGGCTACACTATCTTGGCTGTGTAAGTATACTCTATGTTGTTTGCATAATGATAAAACCGCCTAACAATGCATTTCTCACAATGCTTCCCAATTGTTAAGTAGTGTGTGGTTGTATAAACAAAGGAATATTGTTCAGCCTTAAAAAAGGAGACCTTGACATTTGGCACAATGTAGGTAAACCTGGAGATTATTCTAAGTGAAATAAACCAAAGGAAAAAAATATTTCACGATCTCACATATATGTGGAGTATCTTTTTAAAAAGTCAAATACACAGAGATAGAGGATATTACAATGGGAACCAGGGGGTGGAGATGGGAAATGGGGAGATATGGGTCAAAGTTGCAGATATATAGGATGCAGTCTAGAGATCTAATGTATAATATGAGGACTATAGTTAATGATATTGTATTCAGAATTTTTGCCAAAGGAATTTTTGCCAAAGGAGAGTATCATTGCTCTTGCCACAAACAATAAAGGGGGTAACTGTGTGAGATGACATATATGCTAATTTACTTGACTACAGTAGCCAATTCTCTATGTATATGTATTAATATATCAAAACATCAACTTAAATATACACACAAAAAATAAATTTGTATGTTCTGTACTCTTTCCACAATGGTCAAGATTCCTTAAATCTTACTTGAAATTATGGTCATATTATGTAAGAGGCAAAAACATGATTTAAGGGAATATGAGAGAAGGGTAAAGATAATATAAAAGCCCTACTGAAAATGAGGAGAAAACAAAGTGTCTGTACTCTTATAAAGAGTGAAAGCCCTGCCCCTGCCCCCTTTTCCTATAGACCCCAGCAAGGAGACTGGAAGAATCCTGAGAAAGAATCCACCCAAAACAATGGCCTACAGGGACAGAGTCCCAGAGAAAGAGACTATGTTCAGCAAGGCACAATAAGTCAGCCCTGCCCACACACAGAACTTCCAACTGACTTCTTAGTGCTTACTCCTACAGATGAACAGATCCATCAGGGCCAGCAGCTGCTCCAGGAAAGACAGGAGTCCAAAAAGAAAACCCAGTAAGTTTAAATGTATTTTGAGCAAATTTTCAGTTCTGCTGAAGTATTGGGGGTCAAATCAGTGATTGGTACACACACACAGACAAAAAAAAAAAAAACACAGGGCAATGATGTGCTACAGAAATAGTAAAACATGTTCAAGAAAGGAAATGCAATTATCCTATAGTACACAGCTGAACTAAAATAACATCAAAAATAATAATGTAAAAACTGAGTTAACCAAAAATGCTAATAAGATTGAAAAAGGAAAAAGTCTGTGTGCCGGCAAGTGGTGCTGGGAACCCAGAGGGAACACATGTGGTATGCAGGAAGAACCAATGACCATCTTCCATCTTAGGACAACAATAGTTAATATCTAAAACTGAAAAATCAAAAAAATCACAATATGAGTATGTTATTTAGAAACATGGACAGAACTGAAAGCATCTGCCTTAAGGGAATGGGAAACAGAAATAGGGTGAACATGGGTCTGTTATTTTTCTCGGGCAATAAAGCAACACTCCCGTTCTCTCTCCCTCTTCCTCTTTCTTACTCTCCTTCATTCTTTTTCATTCTTTATTTTTATTCTTTTTTATTTCTTTCTCTTTCCTTCTTTTTTCTTTTTTTTACTTAAAAAAAAAAAAACCTCATACCTCCATATAAGTTTTAAAACTACATGTGTATTACTTGGATGCAAATAAATAAATAAATGCCAAAGAAGATAAAACCAACTTGGGAATGAAACTCTCCAACAAGGCCAAAATTTAAAGAGTTAAATTATGTTATGTTCTTTAAAAAATATAAATAAAACAATGGATTTCTCAGACTCCCCTTTTGGTCTTGTTTTATTCTCTAATTCCATATGCATGAAGGAAACCTGTTTGACCATTTCTGCCACAATGAAAAAGTGGAAATAAAATGCTTAAGAAAAATGAACTCAATATTAGCAAAAACATTTGTATCACTTACTAAAGAACCATTTTGAGAGAGTTTTTAATAGTGCTTAATAGTCATTCTGGGGGGGGGAAAAAAAAAGCACTGCTTCATAAATCTGAAAAAGGCATATCATTTCTAATGCAGGTTCTCACAGGAACATCTACCAGAAAGAAATGCAAAGACCATAGTAAATCTTATGTAGGGACATGTCTGTTCTGTGACTCTAACTCTAATCCAATTATTGGTAACTTACCACTTCATGAATGGATCTGTTGAAGCCATCATCTTCTGTAAGGATCAACAATATTATAAGGGCCATATACACATGGTGAGAATTCCTTTCTTCAACATGATACAGAATCTCAAGAATTGGTAAAACCTAGAGAATAAAAATTATAATTGACTATTTCAATACTTCATTATAAATCCAAATGTTTTAAATCTTTACAATTTTATTTTATATTTGCTTTAATATCATAATTATATTTTTCATTAGAGAAAACCATATAAACCCATTTCTGATTAATGTACTTTCCATACGTATAGTTAAGATACCAGTAGAGCAAATCATCACTAACTCTGTGAAGGTCTCTGAAGATCTAACCAACATAAAGGTTGGATCTGCAAGGACCATTTAGGCTCATGGTTTGTTTTGAAGATTTTAAGAAGTCACATAGCCTTCTCCCAACTTAACTAAAAAGTGGGAGTAGAGGGGAGAGCACAGCTGCTCAGAAGTTAACATTTTGTTTTATGTGCTTAGCACCACTTTTTAAAGCTAACAAGTAAAAAATATATTTCAAGAAAGATATTTAAAACAAACATGTAATTAAACAGACTCTTGCAACCCAAGGTGCGTTTTCTCAACATATGTATTAAGATCTGCTCTTCACTGTATCTGTCAAACATTTCATTTCATAATGCCATTTACATGCGGACCAACTGTGCTTATTTCAAATCATTACTTTGACACCTTCAATTTGTTCAATTTGTTCCTTCTTTACTAAAGTAAGGAGGTTACTAAAAGTATTTATTAAAGATGGGCAGACTAGCTACATAGCATGTCTTGTATGAAACCATGAACACTAACTACTGAATGCTAGAAAATAAGCAAAAAAAATTTTTTCATTGAAATCAAATAATACGTGTAATAAGTAAATTATTTATACATACAAGTCCCTAAAGCACAGGCTGATATGCAAAGCCCACCAAAATGGGCTGACATGCTGCACACTGGGGCATACGTGTTTTGGCAGGCACACCTATCACAGGAAGCTTTTAAAATGTGGCACTGGTATGTTTTATTCTTTCACAAGTTGTAGCTAAAACTTCCCCTAATTTGTGAAGTTCCGTGCATGAGCACTACTAAATTCCAGGAACAAAGTCTATCAGTCACCAAGCAGTCATTGCTCCTTCTCTTTTCCCAGGCATTCTTATCTTTGGAGTTCCTTCTGACACCGTGTCAAACATGATACACTGTACTCACAGTCCACATTACCTAGTAAGCAGTTATATTTTATAGTCATTTAACTCAACATCTGTTAATTCTGATTCTGGAGTTTTCAATACGCCACATAACAACATTTCCATTAATAATGGACAGACAACATATAATACTTTGTAGTTGTATGGTCTTGTAAGATGATAATACCATATTTTTACTGTACCCTTTCTATGTTTAGATACACAAATGCCATTGCATTACAAATGCCTACAGTATTTAGTATGGTCACATGGTATACAGTTTATGGCCTAGGAGCCACAGGCTACACCATAAAGCCTAGGTGTGTAGTTAGGCTATACAACCTAGGTTTGTGTAAGTACACTCTATATGATATTTGCACAGTGACAATATCACCTAATAAAACATTTCTCAGAATGCATCCCCACATTAAGCAACTATAACTATATATTTTATGCCATGTTTTTTATTTTGCTAAGCCTGAAGGAAGCACATCTTATCCACAGTATGTAATATCAATAGAGTACTGAAAATATTCTTGAGACTCTGTACTTTACAAGTCACACAAATAAATGGTATATTCAAAGAATTAATAATATAAAAGTAAGTAACGGGTCCAATGAGTCTATGTCAGAATAGTACTTCATTCTTTTAAATATTTTTATCGAGATACAATTTACAGATTATACAATCCATTTATAGTGTGTAATTCAGTGGTTTACAATATATCCATAAATGTATAATCACCATAGACAACTCGAAAAATTTCATTACTTCAAAAAGAAACCCCACACTGTTTAACTATCACCTCCCCCAGTCCCTTATCTGCCCTGCCCAAAGGAACCACTTTCTGTCTCTATAGATTTCCCTATTCTGGATTTCTGCATGAATAGAATCATAGACTATGTAGATTTTTGTGACTGCCTTCTTTCACTGAACATGTTACCAAGGTTTATCCATGTTGCGGTATGTATGAGGATCTCATTCCTTTTTATGTCAAGTAATATGTCATTGCATAAACACATCACATTTCACTTGTCCATTCTTCTGTTGACTAACATTTGAGCTGTTTTCCTTTTCTGCTATTATGAACAATGCTGCTATAAACACACAAGTTTTCCTGCAGGCATATACTCATTTCTCTTGGATATACATGTAGCCTTGGAATTGCTGAATTATATGGTAACTGTTTAATTGTTCCAGGAACTGCCAGACTGTTTCAAAGCCATTGCACTATTTTACATTTCCACCAACAGTGTAAGAGAGATTAGATTTCTCCACATCCTCACTTCTTATCTAACATTTTATCCTAGGCATCACAGTGGGAGTAAAGTCGTATTTCACTGTAGTTTTGATTTACACTCACCTGATGACTAATGTCAAGTTTTTATTCATGTGTGTATTACTAACTATTTGTGTATCTTCCTGGCAGAAACGTTTATTCAGATTTTTTATCCATTTTTCAATTGGACTGTCCTTATACTATTGAGTTTTAAAAGTTCTTTATATATTGTAGATACAGTTCCTTACCAGATAAGTGATCTGCAAATATTTTCTCACATTCTGTGGGCTGTTTTTTCACTTTCTTGATGGTCCTTTGAAGCACAGAAGTTTCTATTTTGATGCAGTCCAATTTACCTGTTTTTTCCTTTGTTGCTCATGCTTTTGGTGTTACATCTAACAATCATTTGCCAAATCCAAGGTCATGAAGATTCACCCCCATTTTCTTCTAAGAGAATTACAGTTTTAACTCTTTTTAGGTCTTTGACCCATTTTGAATTCATTTTGTATATGGGGTGAAGCAAAAGCTGAACTTTCATTCTTTCTCAAGTAGCTACACAGTTGCACTAGTACCATTTGTTGAAAAAAACTATTCTTTCCACGTTGGTCTTGGCACCCCAGCTGTAAAAGAGTTGATGATAGGTATATGGGTTTATTTCTAGACTCTCAGTTCAACTCCACTGATGTATTATATCTATCTTTGTGCCAGTACCATGCTGTATTGATTAGTGTTGCTTTATAGTAAGTTTTGAAATCAGGAAGTATGAGTCCTCCAAATTTGCTCTTTTTCAGGCTTGTTTTGGCTATTCTTGGTCCTTTGTAATTTTATATGAATTTTTAAATCATCTTGTCAATTTCTATAGAAGTCAGCTGGGATTCTGATAGGTATTATGCTCAATGTGTACATCAGTCCGGGGAATATTTCCATCTTAACAATGTTAAATACTATGATCAGGGCTGAGTATGGTGGTGCATGCCTGTAATCCCAGCACTTTAGGAGGTCAATGTGGGAGGACTGCTTGAGTCCAGAAGTTTAAGACCAGCTTGGGCAACACAGCAAGGCCCTAGCTCTATTTTCTTTAAGTGTTGTGATCAATGAATTCTGTTTTCCCATTTCTTTTAATAATATTTTGTAGTTTTCAGAGTTTAAGTTTTGTACTTCTTTTGTTAAATTTCTGGTGCTATTATGAATAGAACTATTTTATTAACTTCATTTTGGGATTGCTCATATATAAAAATACAATTTTTTGCGTACCGACTTTTTATACTGATCCAGTATCATGCAATTTTGCTGAACTCATCTATTAATTCTACTAGTTTTTTAGTGGATTCCTTAGGATTTTCTATATATAAGATAATGTCATCTGCAAATACAGATAATTTTATACCTTGCTTTCCAATCTAGATATGTTTCATTTCTTTCTCTTGCTCAAATGCCCAGGCTAGAACTCCACTAAAATGTTGAATGAAATGGTGAAAAGCAGATATCCTTGTTTTGTGGATGATCTTAGGGAGAAAGAAAACATAGTCTTTTACCATTAAGTATGATCTGAACTGTGGGGTTTTCATAGCAGCCCTTTATTAACTGGAGGAAGTTCCCTTCTATTCCCAGTTAATTAAGTATTTTTATTTAAAAAAAAAAAAGTGACGATTTTGTCAAATGATTTTTCTGGATCTATTTAAATAATCGTATGATTTTTGTTTTTTACTCTGTTGATATGACTGACGTATCACAGTAACTTTCAGAGGTCTAATCAAGCTTACATCCCTGGGATAAATCCCACTTGGATACAGTATATAATTACTATTATAATTACACTTCAATTCTGAAAGAACTCTCTTAACTGAGATCTGAAAAACTACTAGGAGTTACCTGAGAAGAGGAACAAGGAGAAAATTCAAAGGAGAAGTATTCTAGAGAGAAAACCAAGTCTAAACCTAGTTAGGAGATAGGTTAGATTGAGAGAAATTAAATTAATTCATTATGATTAAATAAAGAATACAAAGAACATATGGCAAAGAGATGAGATCCAAAACGGAAGCTGTGGCAAAATTATAAAGTGTCTTGTTAGCTACATTAAAGAGTGAGAGCTTCAACCTGAAGGGACCGTGGAGCCAAGAAAGTACTTTAAAAGTAGGGAAGTGACATTATCAGATGTGACTCTAATCAACTCACTCTGGAAACGGTAAAAAAGTGTTATAGAATAGCAAGACAGAAAGCAGGAAAACCGGTTAAAGATGTTGCAATAATTGAAGCCAGAGATGAAGGCAGTTTAAACCAAAGGAATGGAAATCAGGAAAAAGAACACTAAAACATTCCAAAGACAATAAGAAAATAAAAAAGATTTGGTTGGATATGGGGAAATGAAACAGAGGAGTCAAAGCTTTTGCCAACTATGAATGGCTTACTGTGATACGGAATACAGGAGTAAGAGAAGGAAGGGCAGGAAAAATAATGAGCCCAATTTTTACGTTTGGTTTAAGATGCCTATGAGACAGCCACTGGG